AAGGGATCCCTGGCGGTGAGGTTGCCCAGAGCAGCTGTGGCTGCTCCATCCCTGGGAGTGTTCCAGGCCAGTTTGGACAGAGCTTGGAAAGAGCCTGGAGAACCCTGGTCTAGTGGAAGGTGTCCCTGTCTGTGGCAGGGGATGGAATGAGCTGAGCCCTTCCACCCCAAGCCATTCTGGGATTCTGTGGTTCCTACTGATTTAACACGGTGAGGGTTTGCCTTTACATCCCAACACCAGTTCCCAAGGCACTCCCTCCTTCCTTGAGCATCCATGTGCTCTGAACTCCACCCCAGCTCTGCCTGTGCCTCATGCAGCCACCTCATCCCCCATACACACTGTGGGCACTGGGGCTGCTGGTCCCAGCTCCCCTCAGCCCATTGCTGGAGCTACCTGCACACCATGCAGCTGGTCCAGGACAGCCCCTGGCCCTGCTCTGCTCCCACCTGGGGACCCACAGCCACCAGGTACAACCTGTTCTATACTCCGACATAAACATCCACAAATATTTGCCCATGGTTTGCACAAGTGTTCTGTGGTGAGATGCAATTACTTGGGAGTTTCCGAAAGCAAACACCCAAGTATTGGGCACTGACTTAACAGACCCATTACAAAAATTAAACAAACACTTAATGTATTTTGCTTCTTCCATGGCAACCCACTGTGCAGCTCACTGCCACCTTTCCCACTCAGCACTGGGCTGTGAGGCAGCTCCTGGGCTGCTCTCTGCCTCCCTCGGGGCTGGGGAGAGGGGCAGGCAGTGCCACCACTGCTGGGGCACATTCAGGGTGCTCGGGGAGATGTGCAGGAGACACAGAGTTTGCCAGAGGTTTGCACAGACCATGGTGGAAACACACCCCAAGGCTGTGCCTGGCCCTCCTGTGTTACAGAGGTGACACAGGGACAGCAAGTCCTGGTGACTGCTCAGCACAGTAAAGCCACAACCCCAGGACACCACCAAAGCCCCACAGGAGACTCAATTATTGGCTCTGTCAGCTTTCTGACCACGATGCACCCACACTAACCAAAGTGCAGCTGGCACAGCCCTTGCAGTACAGGCTGGGCTCCCCCAGCTACAGGTTTCCACGTGCCACAGGGGGACAAGAGTGACCCTTCCCAACAGCCAGAGCCCAGTTGGGATCTTCTCTCACGTTTGAATATATCAGCACAGACTTCCAAAGCCATTGGTTCTCCTTCTCCCCGTGGCTTGTTTGTGTTGGCTTTTTCCCTTTCCCCCCAGAGCACTGCAGCTCCCCAGCTCAACCGCTGCATTTTGGGCAAATAGATACTCCTTTTTGCTCATGCTGGACACAACCTGTGAAAATTTTCTGCATTTAGATTCAACAATGCTGCTCTTATCCCCAGCTCATCTCCAGAGAGACAATTACCATTTCCTTTGCCTTGATCTTGTTTGTTTAACTTGACACAGTGAAGAAAGGGCTGACATTGACCAAAATCCCCAGCATTAATTTCTCTCCTGCTCAGCATTCATCATTGCCACGGGGCAGGGGAGGCAGGGCAGGGCCTGCAATGCCTCCCGAAACACTCCCTGCAAACAGACCCAGCTGGCAACTGCACGGGCACCTGGAGCACCCTGGGGCTTACCTGGGAGCCCCAAGAGGCTGAGCCATGTCACCTGTCTCACACAAACTGGGCTCATTCAGCCAACCCAGGAGTTGCAGTGTGTTATGGGGCCTGAGTAGGCTTTGTAATAGATTTATAGTATGTGTATTATAATATTAATAATGTAAGTAATATGCTGTTTATTTAACAATAGTTATAATACCATAAACAATATAAATATTGCAGCACAGTGATTTAGCTTATTATATAAGTAAATATAACAACATAGTTATTTCATTCATTATTATTTGAGCTCAGACTGAAGGAGGGGAAGTTTAGGTTAGATATTAGAAAAAAGTTTGTTACTCTAAGGGTGGTGAGACACTGTCCCAGGTTGCCCAGGGAGGCTGTGGCTGCCCCAACCCTGGCAGTGTTCACAGCCAGGTTGGATGAGCCTTGAGCAACCTGCTCTGGTGGGAAGTGTCCCTGCCCAGGGCAGGGGGTGGGGCTGGGTGAGCTCTAAGCTCCATTCCACCCCCTAAATTCTATTATACTGTGATTCCCATAGTTATATTAGTATTGATTATTATCTGTTATTAATATTTGGTTCTCTAGTCTATGATTATTCTGTTTGCTCCTCCCTACAATGCCCAGGAGTCCAGAGCCCCCTGACCCCTGAACAGACCCCAGTGATGTCCATGTGCACACCTGTGTCACGCACCTTCCAACACACACTGCACCACTTTCAACCTATTTAAACAGCATTTCTCCACTAAAACTGCCAAAGTCAGGTCTGTACTGGGGCATGATTTGTAAACTGGACCTGTTACTTGGGTCTCCTTGGGAAAACAGCCTTGCATTGGAGGCTGGCTCTGTGTGTCCCTTGCATGGACACCACAGGTGACACTCACCTGGTCCCCAACCCTCAGCCAAGGGGAAAATCAATCCCCTCGCTACAGTGGCAGCTCCCCCTGTGAGACACCTACCTGCAGGAACTCATTGAGCTCCACCTGCCCGTTTTTGTTCAGGTCCACCTCGCTCAGGATCTCGTGGAGCGTGTTTTCTGCCATCTGCACGTTGATGCTCTGCACAGAACAAGCACACAGGGATTGGCTCAGCACTGGAGATGCCACACTGAAATCCAGGTAAGCTGCTTGGAAGGGGAACTGAGGGCCAGGAGGAAACCTCACCTCTAGCACACGCTGCACATCCAGGGTGGTAATGAACCCCTTCTTGTCCTTGTCAAACATGCGGAAACGCTTCTTGTACCTGCAGGACAGAGGTGACCCGTGGGGAACCACGCGGGGCACAGGGACAGGGGTTCAGCCCAGCAGCACAGGGAGCTCTCACTTCACTCACCTCTCAATATCTGAAGGCACTAGGCTGATTTCAGAGCTGTCTGTTAGCTGATCTGATTTGACTTTGTAGCCCATTTCATAGTAGAGGAATTTTTTAGCCCCTTCAAGCTCCTCCTACAATAAAACCAGAAATCCTGTGTATCCGGGGAACAGCAAGACCTTGCACAAGTATTCTTCATCTCTCCAAGGTCCCAAAGCTAAGCAGATGGCAGGTGAAAAGCATTTAACAAGTTTAGCTTAGGCACCTTTGAGTCTTGGGAAGAGCTATCAAGTCAGGTAAAGACGTGATTTCTGTGTGAATGCTCTCAAGGCCATCCCACACCTTCAGTCACAGAGTGTTCTGCCCATTTCAGGACAAAAATGGCCCTTTTAGTCCAAGCCTACAGCATGCATTTCACTGCCAGCTGATACCCCAGTGCTGTGTTTCACCCAGCTGTCCAAAATCAGCATGAAAATCAGTAGCCTCAACACCAGGCAGGTTCTTTATGGTTTAAACGAGTTTTCCCCTCCACTCTCTGGTCAATCCCAGCTCATTTCACAGCTACTTGATGAAGTCTCTAAAAGAAATGCCCCGAGTGACTCATCCTCTCACAAGAAAGCATCACTTGTGTTTTTCTATTCAATTCACTGCGATCGTTAACATGGAAACTCCTTAAGGAAAACAAACCATCTTCGGCTGAAAAAGGCTCTTTGTACCTTCTTCTTCTGCTCGCTCCAGTTGAGTTCCTTCCCCATTATGTCCACGATCCTTGGCAGAGCTTCCTCTGCAGCCTGCACGTTCAGGAAGGCCAGGCGAGTGCGGCGGGAGATCATGTCCACGGCCGTGCGGGCGTATTCCTTCACCCCATACACCACCTGGAGCCACGGGAAGGCACGAGGAATGCAGAGAGGGCACAGTGCTGGCAGCTCACAGCATCAACTGTGTGCCCACCCGGGAGAGACAAGGGCTGCAAAAGTTCCCTTTCCCTTGGAACACTCATAAAACTCATCTGGGATCAAATGTTTATGTATGAAATAAAAAACAGGCACTAGATAAATAGTTCATTGTATATATTATGTGTATATATAAATACATACAAATAAATCATGCTCCAGGGAAGGAGGAAAACAAGGACAAAACAACAGCTGGACCTCTCCAAAGGAAAGGGCTCGAGGAGATGTTTCACAGAGCACTGACCTGCCCCAACACCTGCTCTAGGACCTGCACATCCCAAGAGCAGAATCAAGGAACATGTTTTCCCACTTACCTCAGCTTCAATGTAAGGGAACTCAGAGACCAGACGTTTGCCGACGATGGGCCACCTCTTGCCTGTGACCTGGGCTATTTTGGCCACCTCAAAAGCCTTGTCCCCATAGGTGGATGCCAGGTGCTGAGCCACCTGTGGAGAGGAGAACAAATCCAGCGTGCACATCAAACACACAAGTTTTTCTTGTCCATTCCTAAACATCAATAACAAACAGGCTGCAAAGGGTGTGAGACTGGGATTGTGTGGGAGGAAACTCTGCTGGGGGTGGGTTGGACCAGCACTGCCACCACTGTGTCTGTGTCACTGTGACTGACTCTCTCCAGCTCACAGCTGAGGGACAGCGCTGGGGGCTCCAAGGAACACAGACCCCAGCAAGTCACAGCACTTTAAAGCAGGAAACAGCCGAGTTAGGAGCAAGGAAAAGGGGAAGACAAAGAACAATCACGATGATTTATTTCTGTTAAAACTACCTCTGCTCCAGAGAGGCAATAAGCTCTCATGGAGCTCACCAGGCCTTTGTCCAAGTTAGGCTTTTAGGGGAAAACCAAACCACTCTAGCACAGACACATCAGAGCATCACCAGAAACCACGACTCACCTCGCTTTCAAGCCCATAGTCCTGGACCAGCCTGATGTAGAGTGTGGGGCTCCACTCCTCGGCCCCTTCCAGCTGCAGCCCGATGGTTCTGCTGGACCCTGCCTTCAGCTTGTGCTCCTGAATGGCAGCATCGATGGCATCGCGCGCCATGGCGCGGTAGGTTGTCCACTTCCCACCTGGGGGAACACACAGCCACCTCCTTATTGGGGAAAGCAAGCAGGATATGCCATTTCTATGGACTGTATATCCCAGGATTCCCACCAGGCTTGCTCCAGCCATAGTTTGAAGGAACTTGCAGTACCTGCTATGGTGACGAGGCCACTGTCGCTAATGCTAACGATGTGGTTCCGCGATATGGACTGCGTGTCCTTGGAGTTGGGGTCTGTGACCAGGGGCCGGATCCCGCTCCACGCGGCCAGCACGTCTCCTCTTCTCACTGTCCAGGGTCACACACCAGGCAGAGTCAGGCTGGAACTCAGGCTTCTTTCCATGGAGGGTGGCAGAACACTGGGACAGTCTCCCAGGGAGTGTGGACTCTCCCTCTCTGGAGACATTCCAAGCCCACTTGGACGTGTTCCTGTGTCACCTGCTCTAGGTGACCCAGTCTGGGCAAGAGTGTTGGACTGGGTGATCTCCAGAGGTCCCTTCCACCCCTAATGATTCTGTGATATCAGCTCATTTCCACGCAGAGCCCAAGAAGTGCAGGTGTATGTGGATAAGCACCACTGTCCAGCTCCTGCTGACACTTCACTCTGCTATTTTTAGACACGCAGGCCACAAGAGCCCCAGCTGCCAGTCACAGAAACACCTCAGGCAGCAGCAGTTGCCCCAGCTGAAACGCCCTGGACCCCTGAGCACCTCCCAGGGCACAGAGCCCTCCCGGGTTTACCTTCCACGTCTGCACTCAGGTAGTGTCGCACTTCGCTCAGGATGAAGTTGATGTCCTCCTCGGTGGGGATGGGGTGGGAGGTGACATCCGTGGGGCTGTCCGTGGTCCCCGCGATGGTCATCTTCTCCCAGGGCAGGAAGAAGATGACTCTGCCATCGCTGGTGGCCGGGTCCAGCAGCCCCATGTTGTCAGGGCTGCAAGAGAGGAGGGACGTGGCTGCAGCCGGGGCAGGCAGCACCGGGCTCTGTGCTGGCACACACAGGGTGTCCCAGGTAAAGGGCTGGAACACAACCTTCAATCCCAGGTCAAATGATTTCAGAAATAACTAATTCACAGCTTTCCCATGTGGCCAAGGCCTGACTTCAAACAGCAGTGCCAGAAGCTGTGGGAAATAAGGCCCTAGGATATGCTGCTCAGGGATTACTACAACTGGATTTCCTAAACAAGGGGGCAGACCACAACCTGAAATGGAGCAATTTGGCATCTCCCATCTCCATTCAACCCTGTGCATTGGAATTTCAAAGACAAACGTTTGGAAACCGTAAACCCACAATGACTAGAAACTCCTCACAGAATGAACAACTGTTTTCAGTCCAACAGATGGACAATCCCCTGTATTATGCATCAAGGAGAGGGAAGGCTGAAACAGAGTGAGCGTTCACAGACTGGTCTGGGTTGTGAGGGACCTTAAAGCTCATCCAGTCCCACCCCTGCCCTGGGCAGGGACACCTCCCACCAGCCCAGGGTGCTCCAAGCCCATCCAACCTGGCCTGGAACACTCCCAGGGATGGAGCAGCCACAGCTGCTCTGGGCAACTCTGAGTCTGTTGAATTGTTCCCCTCTAACGTCCCTTACTGCCACCTAAATGGGCCTGTCCTCCTTCTGTGTGCTCCCAAACAAGGAGGTTGAAGGAGTAATTCCAGTGACACTGAGCCTTCCAGAGAGGCCTTTGGTTCTCTGGAACACAGGCAGAGCCATTTACTCAGCCATGGGATTGTGTATGTGGATTTCTTTCTACATTACACCAGAAATCCACATTTCTCTTTTCTCTCCCTCTTCTCTCTGTTGCCACCAGTACCTGGAGGCAAAGACCTGTCTGGGTGAGAATTACCTTCCCAGGCTGGATCGCTGAATATTCCACTTTCAGGAGTCTAAACTGATCACTGAAGGGAAGTTTGCAGCCTCTGGCCAGGCTGGAAGAGAGGCTGAGAATTTCATAGCTAGCATGTATATCAGAACCTTTTCCAGCTGATATTTATAGACAGCTTAGGCATACGGGGGAGAGGTGCAGTTTAATAGGGGAAGTCAACACGGGTTTGGGAAAGGTAAATCACCTCAGACAAATGATTACTTTTGAAAATGAAAAAGCTGTTGATTTAGAGACAGAGGAAATCAGAGGTTTAATATACAGTATCAGAATTCAGAAAACTTTATAGACATTCTCTCAAAAGTGTGAGGTTTTTTAATGTGATCTCATAAAACTGTTAGAAATAAGGACAAGAAAGAAGCAAAGACTTAGGACTAAGGTTCCCCACAGCACCTCTGGACTGAAGGGCTTTCAGATTACACAGCAAGTACTGAGAGAGGATGAAAGTATTCCATGTGCCAATTATGGACAGGATTGATGATACCAGCTATCCTGGGAAGCTCCTTCTCCATGCCCATTGCCAGGCTGGTTGGTTCCAGGAGCTTTAAATAATCAGAGCCGCCCAAACAAATGCAAAACGAGGTGTTTTGCATCAAAAAGAAGCACCTTAATACCCAAATACTGCCCGTTTTGGGAAGCCTGTGTGGTCATGTGTGGGAATTCCTCAGAAACAACAGGGGTTTGTAAGGCAGGGGTGGGAGAAGGGGTGGGAGAAGGAGGGATGAGCCACGGCAGCCACAGATATCTCTTTACTGGGCCAGTTCAGGGCTGTAATACGAAGCATAAAGCAATGCCTTTGTGCAGAAATATCGAGGTGAACAGTCTGGGAGATGCATGGAAGGTCTTGGATCCATAGCAGATCTCCAGCTGAAGAAGCATCTGACCAAAGCACCAGAAATGCAGTTAAAGGACAATAAAAAG